GTTTCATTTTTTTTCTTTCTTTCTTTTTTTGTTTGTTTGGTTTTCTTGTTGGTTTTCAGTTAGCATTTCCTTACTTTCTGGCCTTACTAGATTGTTCTGCTTCTTCTGGTGTATTCCCTGCCCCAGCCCTAATAACTCCAGGAAACCCTGGTTCCCTTTAACGGAAAGTGGTGTTAGAAGCCAAGGTCTGTGTTCCAGGTGAGCCCAATGAGACAGAGGCGTCCTGTCCCTGTCCCTGTCCCTGTTCCCCTCGGCTGGGAGAGCAAGGGGATGCATGTAAGCAAACTGACTGGTATACATGCTTACCTATGACTATTTCCTTTTGCTCACACCTGCATCTGTATGGGGGCAGGTGTGTTTGTCCATGTCTTTGACTCAGCACCATCACCCCTGGGTCACCTCCCCCCGCCGCCTACCTGTAACCTCTTCTCCAACAGTGAGGAGACCTGCTCCCACTACCCACTGCCCATTTACAGAAGTGTTCAATTCCAGTCCGCACGTGCGCCGACTGCGGAATTGTTAACCTGAACGCGCGTGGGAAAGGGACTGTAACCAGAGTCCGTGCTTGTGTGCAGACATCTGTCTGTGGTCTGACAGGTCTTGGCTGTTCAGCTCTGTGTTGTTCATTCTTTGTGTGTGTGACTCAGTTTGGAAGTGCCTATGACCTATCCACAATCTCAGTGACTCTACCTCCACGGAGTTGAGTCTATTCATTAGTGACGACGCCCCGTGTCCCCCCCACTCCGTCCCCAAAGCTTTCTTCATCTCTCTCACCGAGTTTGGTTTCTCACATTTAATTCTGAGTCTTTCTTGGACTTCCACTCTCTGTGCTGACAGCACCCATCTGCTCTCACATGTTTTCTCTCCTCTTATTAGAACCTTTAATGTATTAACCACACATCTTGTAAATTCTTTGTACGAGGCTTCCAGCATCTGTTCCATATCTAACTCTGGTTCTGGTTCTGGTTCTGCTCATTTCTTGCCATCATCATACCTTGTACATTTTGTGTTGAAAGCCAGACATGTTGTATTGTGTGACAAGAAGGCGCCCTAGCCTTGGTGTGAGGAGTCATGTTAATCTGGCCAGGAGTTCTGCGTGTTCAGAGCTTGCTGTCCCTCTGGTGTCCCTCCCTTTGCCTGTCCCTTGACTCTGAACTGAGGCTCCCCCGAGGGCTCGTCAGAGAGAGAGGGTCTGTGTGCCCACGCAGGAGCCCTCTGGTGTGCAGTGAGGTTGGAGGAGGGCGGGCTTCTGTGTTCTTTGAGCTACATGCTGTGTCAGAGCTGGCCTGCATCTGGGGCTCAGGCTTTCACGTGCCTCTCCAGTGCCACTCATTCCATCCTGGGCCCTGCATGCTGGCTGGCTGCCCAGCCTCCTTCCTGAACCCCTCCCCATGTTGACTACGATATAGGAAACATGTACCTTCTTCTTTTGGAGAAATGGGAAGATGACGGGACTCCTCCCCAGCTGCTGTGAGGGCCTGACAGCTTTCTCCCCCCCCAGAGTGGGCTTTTGTAGAGAGAAGGTACTGGGCATGCCTCAAGTGTTGCACTTCCCCTCCTGCGGCCAGGGTCAGGATAGATCTTGACCAGGAAGACCCAGTGGGCTCTTCAGTTTCCAGAAATTCATCAAAATGACCACCCCGTGTTCCAGCAGCGGCCCCGTGTTTCTCCCAGTAGAGGCCCCAGCAGTGGCTGTTTAGGGCCAGCTTGTCCTGGCTATGACTGTCCAGAAAAACCCGTCTCTCCAGATTTCTGGGTACAATGTGTCCTGACCTCCCTTCTCCTCGTTCCCAAGAAAAATCATCAGCTTTTAGTCTGTCCAGTTTGATCTTATTGCAAGGATGGGAGCGATGATGTACAGGTTCCTTGCAGCTCAGAGCTCCAGAATTCTATCTTCAGTGGTGCTGAGGTTTGCTTTCAGGATACATTAGCTTCATAAAAGGAGCAGGGAATGTTCCCATTTTTTCCACAACATAAAACCAACTTAGCTTTTGAAGTTAATCTTTAAAGTTGAATTTATGAGGTTATGACCTTAGGAATAATAATAGGAGCTTTGGTTATTTGTTTTAATAAAATATTCTGACTCGATGGTATGGCCTCTAAAATCACCCCAAAGTAAATTTAATTAATGTTTTCCAGTCTATCCTGGTTCTTACTTTATTGTTCTAAGTATATATTTTTTTCCGATAAACTTTTAAATTTTAAAATATTTGTCTCTAAATTTTAAATTGGATTACCAAACAGGCTGTAGGAAAAACTCCAGGGTAATTTTGATAATTGTGCAGAGGAATGAAGTTTAACTTCCTGGAGGAACATGTTTCTATCCATTCATTTCAATACAATTTAATTCAAAAAAATACACGGATTCCTACCCTTAAATCATTAATTGGTTGAGTCATTTTTTCTTATATCCACTCTGTGCTTCCACTGGAGACACAGACATGATTAATATTGTTTCCTTGATCTAAAGGAAGGGTGAGCAGTGAGGGAGAGAATGGTTTGCATTAGAGGAGTCTAGCTGATGCTAGAGGTCAAGGATATGGCCATCGGAAGAGAGGTGAGGACAGATTTGGGGATGGGCGGCTTAGTACTGAAGGCTGGGGAGGCGGTCCTTGTCATGATTTGCTTGATGTGACTAAGGAAGGGCTGAGTGAGGTTCTCACATCTTGCAGGATGGGGTAGGAAACACGAACAGAGGAAGCTATTTCTGCAAGCAGGCATGAAACAGCATGATAAATCCAGAATGTTAGATTTTGCCAAGGCTTTTTCTGCTTTATTCGATATGCATATATGATTTTTTCTCCTTAGCCTATGGTAGAATTACTGAATGTTGAACTAGCCGCACATACCTGGGAAGAACCCACTTGTTCATAATGGATAGTTTTTTGCACATTGCTGGACTTGAATATCCAAGGCTTAAAATTCGAATTGTTAGATTTGACCTCTTCCAGACTACGTGAACTCTCTCATTAGAGGAGTTCCATTACAAAATGGAAAAGTAGGAACTAAATGGTGGGAATTTTGCAAAATAGGGTCTATGTATCAGAAAAATGAGTTAGATTAAATAGTTCCTTTCTAGCCCTAAAATATCTATCATACTGTTAGATTACCTCATCATGACTGGTGAGGAGATTTTGCACCCTCTGAAAGGCTGGTCTTGTAGAAAGTCTTTGAAGTAACTCAGACAAGAAAGTATAAGTCGATCCAGGTGGGTGCCAGGAGGGTGGGCGTGGGCTGTGTGATGCTAACACGGCATGTAACAGGACACGACTCTGATTGTACGTGGTGAGTTTCTCAGCAATAAGGAAAAAAGGGCTAATGAGACTCATGTCCAGCAACATTTACAGCCATTGCAGAATATTCAGTGACACAAATAATAAATCTGAGGCTCATAATAAAATGTGCATCAGTCATTGGATTGAGGTCCTGCATGATCTTTGGAAGGAAGCCCTCGGGGCGGGGGGTGGTATTGCCTTCCTGGGAGACCCTGGGAGACACGAGTGAGTTAAATGCAGATAGAGTTTTGTGGCAATTTATAGTGGAGATCAGAATATTTGACAACCACAAATGCAGATACGGAAAGATCTGGCAAAGAGAAATGTGTGGACCAGGTGGAGGAGAGCAGATGCATGTACTGGAAATCAGCAGATGGTGACAAGGGGGCCTTTGGTATTAGGTGTCCATGGAGGTAGCCAGCAATGGTGTATGTCTTTTGACCTTAACAACTCTGTCTTCATATAAAGTACTAAATGAGGACCCCTGGATTCTTTTACACAGTATTGCCAAACTTGACATTTATCAGACTGTTCAGGAGGCCCTTAATATGATCTATGAATCACATTTATGCTTCTATTGAGGATGGTTTATATTTTGTCAAAATAGCATAAAAGATTTTTGCCTCTCATTCAATTAAGACACAAGCATAACTGATATAAGCTTTTTCATTTTAGACACCTTTTCAGGAGAAACATCCCACTGTCACCTGTTTGAATGGCTCCTTCTCCACGTCATCAGGCTTTCCAAGCCCACTTGCTTTGGTTCCAAGAATGTGCTGGGAACACTCCCCTCCCTGACATCCATATGGGTCACTTTCAAGCTCCTCTCTGATTGTGTGATTTAAAACTGTAACCCTTAGTGTGAATCACCATCTGACATGCTGTGTATTTACTTATTTATCTTTTCATGTCTTACATCCCTCTCTTCCCAACTTAGAATTAAGATCCGCAGAGGTAGGAATTTTGGTCTGTTTTGTCCACTGCTGGGCTCTCAGGACCAAGACAAGTGCTGGCACCAGGGGAGGCTGTCACTAAGCATGTGCTGAATTAACTAATGAACAAAGAAACAAATTGCCACCCATCCAACAAGCCAAAGTGTGAACATCTTTTTTTTTTTTTTTTTTGACATGAAGGAGGATTTATTGGTGGGCATAAATAAGGAGGGGGAAGCACTAAAGTTCTCACGAGTGCAAAGCTGGCCACTTGTCCAGGGGACTATGATGAGGGATATGTTTGACCCACAGTCATCTGGGATGAGTCACTTTTCAGCTACTCTGTCTTGAAATTCATCTACATTAAACTTAGTAATGCCCCTTTTCTTAGAGATGTAGATCTAGGGAGCTATGCAAGGAATAGGATCAGAAAGCCTGGACAGTGGGGCAAGGAAAGTCACAGCACAATTCACCTTCTGGCCATCAGAGAACTTGAACTTGACCCTGTGTAGGGCCTCAGTCACATGCTCCTTGTTCTACAGCTTGGCACGGATGGACATGATGACTTGGTCAGTGTGGACCCTGACCACTGTGCTCTGGGGTGCCCAGCGGTACCCAGGTGTCTTCATTAAGTACTTTATATGAAGACAAAGTGGCTAAGGTGAAAAGACACACACCATTGCTTGCTACCTCCATGGATACCTGATACCAGAAAGTCCCCCTTGTCACCATCTGCCCCACCTGCACTACCTGTCTGCAAACTGGGGATGGCATGAGGTCAGATACTGGAAAGGGCCGTCTCCATGGTCCCTTACAGCAACCCAGGTAGTCAACAGGCTGCAGACGCCACCACAGAGGCTGCTGTCTGCAACCATTGGTCACAGGGCCCCCGGGGAGAAAGAGCTTGTTTGGTTGTAGACAAAGTATGAAAATTCTTAAATAGCTAGTCTGGTGCTTATTGCTTCTTCCTCACAAACCGAGGCAAAGAAACAGATAGTTTTTATCAGTTTTTCAGGTTGCTCTCTAGAAGCTTTGAAAATACCCAAAATACCAGTGGTGCTTGGGATATAACAAAGCCTCCATGGATTTGAGCAGGTTTAGTCCTTTAACGTTGACATTGGGCGATGTAATGCTTGCCATTACTCTCATTTTGAATATTTTCCTTCATCGAATAACTGAAGTGGTAGTTTCAGTTCAGAAAAGCAATGTATTTCTATGTCATCGAGATCTTTAAAAAGCACCAGAAAAAAACCCCAAAGTGTGAGTTTTCAGCGAAAGCACCTATACAATGTAATGAAATTTATTTTATTAGCTCTTGACTGGATGAGAACTAATGCCCATTTTGCGTGAGCTCATTGAGATAAGTGGAGACTGTAGTCAGCCTCACGTGCCCGTTGGCCTCCTGGGGAACTGATGGCAGTGATATCTCTCCTTTATGGACTTCCCAGCACCAGACCCTAAACAATAATGCATCTCATGGTTGGCAGGGAACTGGCTTCTTCCTAGAAACCGTCCAAAAATCCATGTTGATGAATTTGCTCATTCTGTGCTGAAGCAGACACTTCATGGCACTTTTCTAAAGGCTCCTTTTTTGGCTTTATTGTACCACTTATTTGTTGTTGTCTTAGAAATTTTACTTAACTCTTTCGAACCCTCCAAAAACAGGGGCATTACTACCAGTGTGTCACTGCAAGGTGCTGAGGGCAGACTCCAAGATTCCTGGCTGGAGGTACCGCTCAGCACCGACTCCTTCCAGCCCTTTCTTTTCCCAGGCGGACCTCCTTCCCTCCCTGCCGTCTTCATATTTGTGCCGGGACCCGAGGAAAAGCCCAGTAAAAGTGAGTTGTCATACCCGGTTCATGACTTCTCATCCACGTAACTGGCTTTATGGGGACTTGGGGCTGTAGAGAGAAAGATGGAGCCATCACTCAAGCAGTGACATTAGCAGCCAAGGGTGTGGAAACCAAGACCAGTCAACACGGAAAGCAGCACAGGCTGGAGGGACCCGGAACTGCTAACCACCAAAGTCCAGAGAGCCTGAAAGAACCAGCGGCTGACAATCACTGGAGCCAGAGAGGCCGGCAAAGACCCAAGGCTGGTTAAACCCGCTTAGAAAGTCGGGGGCGCGGGGTCTGCTGCCACCTTCAGACTCTCCATGACCCTCCCGCACCTGCCACGTGTGAGAGCTGCCACCCAAGGCTCTGCCTGATCGATCCCTGAACGTAACAGAGATCCTCCACTGCTTGAATGCAGGAAGCAGGGAGTGTGGACAGCCAAAGCCTCGCCTCAGCTGGGCACCCACCCACTGACTTCACGCTTGGTTTGCTAACTCCCCACACCTTGTTGCGTCTTGTTTGTTGTGTGACTTCATCTTGTGCTTTGCTTTGTGTTACATGTATGAAGCCAAGTTAAATGCGTGGTGAAATATCACTGAGTTTGGAATCCTGAACCAGCAAATTGTGTTAAATTTGCTTTATGACTGAATAAAGCTGACATTATAGGACGACACAACTCATGTGTGTGACTTCATAGCCTGCTCATGACCCAGGTGGAGTTCTGGCTCTGTTCTGTCCTGCAGCACACAAGCCCAGGGCCAGGGGTGCAGTCTTTCAGGACACACAGGTCTTTGGGGCACCTGGGTGGCTCAGTTGGTTAAACGTCTGACTCCTGATTTCTGCTCAGGTCATGAGCCCCATTGAGCTCTGAGCTGAGCGTGGAGTCTGCTTGGAGATCTTTCTCTCCCTGACCTTCTCCTGCTCATGCTTTTTCTCTTTCTTTCTTAAAATAAATAAATAAGCTTAAAAAAAGAGTACAGGGCACGTGGGTGGTTCAGTCAGTTAAAGTGTCTGACTTTGGCTCAGGTTATGATCTGTCAGTCCATGAGTTTAAGCCCTGCATCGGGTTCTGTGCTGACAGCTCAGAGCCTGGAGCCTGCTTCGGATTCTGTTTCTGTCTCTCTCCACCCCTCCCCCACTTATGTTCTGTGTCTCTCTCTCAAAAATAAACAAACTTTAAAAAAACATTAAAAAAAAAGAATACAAAGCTCTGAGCATAGCAACTATTTGAAACCAAATATATTAAATATATTAAGTTTTATTATGTAAATTATTTCTATATCTTGAAGCATAATATTGAGATTTATTTGTTGAAAGGATAAATGAATGAATTCTAGTGAACATAACAACATTCTTTTTAAAGTTGTGTTTTTGAGGAAATGAATTTTTTTACACGGATGAAGTATGGTATTAAATCCCATCTTTTCTGATCATTAATCATTATTTATGGATTATTTTGCTTAATATGTGTTCCTAATTATTTTTCTTTTCAAATATTAATTTCTGATATTATAAAGTTTCAATTTTCTGTGAATTTACCATATTGAATGAGTTGTTAGAGTATTGCTCTGAATGAGAGAAAATCTATATCAGTATTATCACAGGAAAAAATGGTCCATACAAAAACTAACCAACACACTTTTTTCAAGCTTTGTTTTGATTTAATCAAAGAAACTTTTCTGTAGTAAATATTAACTACCTAAAAAACTGACCCCCAAATAATTAAATGTGGGGAGATCCCATGTGCCAGGACACCTATTGTGGACTTTGGGCTCACACAGATTCCAAATGAGAATTTGCTTCCTGTGTGGAGGCTGTCAGCTGCCAGAGGCTGGGCTGGCCCCAGGCCAACCCTCCCCCCATCTTCGGAGCTTCCCACCTTGCAGTTGTAACCAGGATTAAATAGCCTAATGTACGGAAAACACTTGGAATATTTCCTGGAGTGCTGAAAGGATTCAGAAATAATAGGTAGATTATGAAGATGATGATGATAGTGATGGTGATGATGATGGCGATGAAGACAATGATGATGGTGGTGATATTATGGTGATGGCAATGGTGGTGATGATGATGATGATGATAGTGACATTCCATGCCCCTGAGACGAGTTTCCAGAAATTATTGCTTGTAGTACTTTCTAAAGACCAATGATCTCTACTCTTGGTAATACCTGAAACTCATTAATCCATGGGTAAAATACGTTTGTGATTTCCCACCTGGACAACAGATGTCAAAATAAAGGTGAAGAACAGAGCATGCAGAATTAAGAAATTTTCTGAGGTCATCATCAAGCACAGGGAGACTGTCACTCTAAAGGGATCCTCTGACTACATTCTGCTGTACTCTAAATACTATTCTCATCATTTCTTTTTCGTAACAAAGTGAATGGCTGCTGCTGACCCGTGCCGCATCATGGGGCTGCCCTAGCCATGAGGCTGCTGCCCCCCACCCCTCCGTGCCCAGCAGTCTGCTCCCCTCCCACCTTCCCAGGGAGACCGACTGCCCCGGGCTCAAGGCTCCTTCTGTATCATCTCCTCTCCTCTCTGATCTCCCCTCGGGTCCATTTGTTTCCTTTCTTTCTTGTGTTTTCAAGTCACCCTTTACCAGAGTCCTTCCCCTCGCTTTAGAAACATGGCATTCACAAGGCACTGCAGTGCAGAGATGGGTATCGACGTATTGTTTGTGCTTATCACAACTTCCGAATACTCAAACCAGTAGATCTTGCTATTTAATATCTTGATGAGGGAGCACGTGCGTTACATCAATTCAAGTTTGTTTCTGCCAAAATGCTATTGAGATTTTGATAAGGATTGCCTTGAACCTGTGGTCACTTTGGGTAGTATGGGCTTCTAACTGTATTATGTCTTTTGATCCAAGAGCACAAGATGTCTTTCCATTTATGTGTATCTTGTATTTCTTTTAGCAATGTTTCCAGGTTTCCAGTGTACCTGTCTTTCACCCCCTTTGTTACATTTATCCCTAAGGATGTAATTCTTTGTGGTCTAATAAATAAACTTGCTTTTTGAGTTTCTTCTTTGACTTGGTTATCCTTAGTGAATAGAAGCACCATTGACTTGTGTGTTGCTTTTGTTTCCTGCTACTTTGTTGAACTTGTTCAATAGTTTGAATAAATGTGTGTGTGTGTGTGTGTGTGTGTGGCATTTAGGGTTTTGTACATATATAAGTTTATTTATGGATCTATACATGATCATGCCATCTGTGAACAGAAATAATTTTACTTCTTCCTTTCTGATTTGGATGGCTTTTGTTTCTTTTTCTCTTGTCATTGAACTGCTAGCACTCTGTTGTGGTTATGACTGGGATGCATGAGTTTATAAATACCATGAAGATCATGTTCCTAGGGGTATGTTTTCAGTCCCATTGATACCATGCTCCATGCTGTCTCATCTCGGATGAGATTCAAAGGGAAATAATTCAGATATTTTCATGCACTCTTTTTTTTTTTTTAACGGAATACCACAGTTTATATATTCACTTCAAGCTTATGACCTCAGCCTGAATAAAGTCATTTTTGCCTTAGTCAGGTTCAGATGAATGAGACCACTACCAGGCCCGTAAAGCCCAGAAAGCTTGCTGTGGGTGTCTATGGTGGGGATTTCAGAGCAGGCTGAGGTAGAGGCCATTGAGGGGCACAGAGGGAGCCCATGGAGGGTGACAGATGCGCACATTCTAGGGAGTTTGGCCTTTACAACGCAGTCAGTGGAAAGTCATGAAAGTTTTTGATCTAATGGGAGCTGTGTTTTAGGCAGATGTTCTGTTCAGCACTGCAAAGAATGGATTTGTGGAAACCGGTTACAATTAATTGAATGTGATTTTCTGAACATTCTTCAATGCAGTTCCTACATTTTTCCTTTCCTTCCCTCGTTCAGTCCCAGCTTTTTTCTTCCTTTACTTTTGCAAACTGCTTTATCCTTGTTGCTTTTTTCCTTCTCTCTTGCCTCCTTTAATCCACCAAAAAGCACTTCCCATTGTCAATGGCAATTAAAACCAGGGAAGCAAAGCCCATTTTCTGTCCCCGATGAGGACCACCACTGTTAAACAGACTGAGAGAATCTTCCAAAATAGT